AATCATATGCAAGCACACACACACACATACACTCACTGTGGACTGCAGATGGCGCAATTCACTCTGGGAGGCAAAAAATGCACACAGCGAGCTGTAAATAACACGATTCACCGGGAAAAACTCACCGAAATAGGGCAATCCACCCCTAGATGCACACACATACAATAAGTGTGCACTGTAGATGGCGCAATTCGCTTTGGGAGACATAAAATACACAAAGAGAGCTGCAAATAACACAGTTCATCGCGAAAAACTCCATGGCGCAATTCATTTTGGGAGACATAAAATCACACAGCGAGCTGTAAATAACACAATTTACCAGGCAAAACTAACGGAAATAGGACAATTTACCCTAGATCATATCCACGCACACACACACACAAACTGTGCACCGTAGATGGCGCAATTCACTTTGGGAGACAAGAAATACACAAAGAGAGCTGTAAATAACACAGTTCGTCGGAAAAACTTACATGGCGCAATTCATTTTGAGAGACCTAAAATACACACAGCGAGCTGTAAATAACCCAGTTCACCATGCAAAAACCAACGGAAACCGGGCAATTTACCCTAGATCAAATCCACACACACACACACACTAACTGTGCACTGTAAAATCCTGTTCCCTTTCTCCTTTCCCTCCTCCTTTCTCCTTTCCCCCCTCCTTTCACTATCCCATTTCCCGTTCTCCATCCTCGTTCTCTTATCCCTTGCCCCTTTCCCTTTCTCCTTTCCCCATTTCCCCTTTCTCCTTTCCCTTTCTCATTCCCTTCCCCCGTTCCCCTCCTCCTTTCTCCTTTCCCTCCTCCTTTCACTATCCCATGTCCCTTTCTCCTTTCCCCTTCTCCTTTCCCTTTCCCCTTTCTCCTTTCCCCTTTCCTTGTTCTCCTTTGTCCTTTTCCTCCTCCTTTCCCTTTCCCTTTACAAATGGAACGCAGTGGTAACCTATAGATGGCGCAATGCACAGTTATGCTTTGCCAAAGAAAAATCCTGTTCCCTGTCCCTTTCTCCTTTCTCCTTTCCCTCCTCCTTTCATTCCCCCTTTCCCTTTCTCCTTTCCCCTTCTCCGTTCCCTGTCCCCTTCCCTTTCTCCTTTCCCCATTTCCCCTTTCTCCTTTCTCCTTTC